ATGTTAACGACCAGTGAACAGGGCACGGATTATATATATAATTTCATCGGGTTCGGAGTGCAACATTGGGCTACAACAGTACATCTCCATTTTTCGCCCTTTTCCCTGCAATCCTCCCCACCATTGCTCATAGGCTCTCACCTCCTCTAGGTCATTCTCGGATTCACGCCTAATTTTTCGTTTCGTAATTAGGTTTTATTCAAGGGATTGCTTGGTGTGCGATTTCACTCAACGGTCTCCTCAGCATGTTTTCGATCCATCTCCATTTTTATGTCATTTGTCGAGTAGTAAATAGGTCATTGATTGGTTCGTTCCAAGAGTTTCTTATCGCTTAATCTTCATTACGAAACCTGCTGCTAATAAAAGTCTGTCGTAGCCTGTTGGGAATGATTTTCGTGACGCGCCAGGTTTCTGACCCAAACATAAGAAGTGACTGACCTAACAATGGTGCCGAAAATCCGAATTTCGTTATGTATTTTGAATACAGCCGACTTCCAAATTGACTTCAGAGGGATGAACGCCGGTTTTGCCATTCCGATTCTGGTTTCAGCATCCGCATCTGTGCCACCCGTCCTTAGCTGAAACGATTTTACCTGGTCAGATAAGTGAAAGAGATAACCCCTTTCAAATTTTTTCCGTTGATGGTGATGATTTCCTTGGCGAAAAACGAGCATATCCGCGATAATGTGGATGGATTATCATATGATATACCTACATTGAAAATAGCCCCTAGCTTTTTACGGCGGAACGACTTAAAGTGGTGTAAATGAGAAAATACATTTTTTTATTCCTTTACTTTCCCGGTGAAAAATAGGGATTCAAGCCTATGGCGTGTTGTTCAAAACCAATGTGAATTGGGCGCACCCGTACCAATCAACGGACAATCGGCAAACATGAATAATAACAATAATGGCTTTATTCAACTGCAGTATTAGCAGTTTTGACCAGTGGAGCTGCAGCAAATCACTGATCTAGGCGCGCTAGATTTCTAACCAAAGGATGATCACAAGTTCAGATTCGCCTCCAATTATCGAGAAGTGGCCAACAGATAGCATGACTAGCTTTCGCACAAAAGGTATGGCATATATTGTCAAGTGCATAGACATCAAAGTGGTTGTTGAGACTCCAAGATATTTTGATCAAAATCCATCAAATCTTACTTCCATGGCTTCCATTAGCAGGAAGATTTGTACTCCTTCCACCAAATTATGTTTATAAACTTACAGCTGACGATTTTATATATTTCAGCAAAAACTTAAAAGGTTATTATTGATTGGACACTAGTCAATAACTAGTGTAATGTGTCCCGTCATATCTTTGATACAGACTGAGTTCTATCAGTCAAGTTTGAAATGTGGCCACCATGTTAAGTGGCTCGTCATTACGTTGCACTGTGAGTTGTCCGTATTAGATGGCTGGAAGCAATCGGCAGGAAACTTTGGACCTAGATTTCATCAACAAAGCGAATCTACAACCTCGAATAGCTCAGTGGTTGCGTCTCCGACTGCAGCACTGGGTGACACGGGTTCGAATCTCAGAAGAGACATGAGTTCCTTCGAGGTTGCAGATACGCCTTGTAGGCTGGTGAGTGGCAACTAGCACGAGACCTAGGTCGAAGACTTTCTGCCTATTGCCTTCAAACATCTAATACTTTCAAAGGTTAATTAAACAAAATCAATATCATTTTTAACGTCTCTTTCTAAACAACGAACAAGTTTTTTGTCGCAAATAAAAAGTCTCACTGATCAAAAGGTTTATAATACATTGGCTGAACACATTATTGAACTTTAATCGATCACAATCGATAATGTACTGCAAAAACTGTTTCCTGAAAATCTGTTGTCCGGAAAGAAGATTCTACGTGTTTACATATCTTGATTAGTCTATTTCGAAATGCATATCATATAAGTAGAATGTATGTTTGAATTTAAGAATTCCATTCATTTATATTAAGCTAATAGGATTATGACTGACTGGTCTTAACACCCAACATTGCACAGATGTACGCACACACAGACCAAGAGAAGAGAGGCTCAAAAGACGGATAATAAACAGAAGTGTGAATTAGGGGAAAACAATAGTAATATAGAAGAATGATAGAGTCCTACGATTCGACAAATCATAAAGACTGAATGTATCTGCGCTACTGACAACGATTTCGAGCCACATAAACAATTGTCTCTTCAGGCATTGCTTCTCACCACCCCGAGGGCTTCAACCAGTCCGACAGTCTATACCTCCCAACGTGGCTGGCTCAAATTAACTATTATGGATTTCATTGTCTGAAGAGGCCATGTTTTGGTTTGACCACCATTAGCTCTTTTCCAAACTAATCCTATGTCAGCTAACAATGATTGTCGGGGAAGGTGATAGATAGGCATGCATGCGAAACACATGTTTTAACCACCTCAACAAATTCATCTTCACAACCTCATCGACCGACTTTCCCTCCTTACCTAACACTCGACACTTGACCTCAATATTGCTCACAGAACGCAGACACCTATGACTGAAGATAGCTAGCTAGCCAGTTTTCCACGTTCAAAGGCCATGTCTCGCAGCCACAATGGAGGAGCCAGCGAGCTGTGGAGCAGTATACACATCTTTTGATCGACAGCCGAACATCACCTCTACGCCGGGACTGGCATAAATTAGCATATGCCGTACCAGCCTTCTGTATCCGTCCTAATATTTCATCAGTGATCAACCCGTTCGGGCTTTTGTAATCCAGTCTCATAGCATCATCATACCTTTGACAGGAGCAAATCGCATGGCCAACATCCGACGATTCCTGCTCAGTGTTCCGAAGACCCTGTCTGCATTTTGTCAGCTTCTTCATTCAGGAAGACTATATATCATCCACATACTTCAAGTCAAGTAAATTATACCCTAGTAAAAAGTCAATCCTTGAGTTGCTGAAGTCATTTAGAGTTGAGTTCATTAGTACATCGAATATGGTTATACAATTATTGGGTGAGTTTAGTCAGCAAATGAGAACATTTTGAAATAACAGAGAAGATTTGTAACTCAGGTGGATGATTTGCAATTAATAGTGTTCTATGAGCTAGTTGGTTTAGTTGCGGAGCTTTCGTCGCCCTCCTTCTGGACGACATCTTCAGTGCAGTGTTTTGGATAATATGAAATGATTTGAATTTCTTCATGAGTGATATAATTGCGTCTCCCGGTAACCACCTTTACATATGTATTGACCGTTTTCTATTGATTTGGATTTTAAACTTTCTAACCAACTAATAAAAAGTAAAATCAGGTGACCAGAAAGTTTAAAATCCAAATCAATAGAAAACGGTCAATACATATGTAAAGATAGTTATCGGGAGATGCAGTTCTATGACTCATGAAGAAATTTAAATCATTTCACATTATCCAAAATACTGCGCTGAAGATGTCGTCCAGAAGGAGGACGACGAAAGCTCCACAACTAAGCCAACCAGCTCACAGAACACTACTAATTGCAAATGCAAACATTATTCTGCATAAATTTCTATGATTGCAGTTATCTCACTTACTCTTCTCAATTCATGTATGTTGATAAATGCTTTCTCTTGTGTGAATAATATAGTATAGAGATTTTGAAAAGAGAGAATAGCGGTAACGGACTTTTTTTATTAAGAAGAAACAAATCATATTTATACATTCTTATCACTACTATTGTTTCCTTTAATTCATTGAGGAACATAGAGCTTCAGCCGCACGTCTCCATTGCGTTCGGTCCTCTGCCAACATTTTCACCCGGCTCCACGTCTGCCCACATGCTTTCATCTACTATTCACATGACCCCCTCCTCCTCCATGTCACATTTACACTGACGACCAACCAACACGCCGCTTCCCATTCGGGTTCCACTGGAGAGCGATGGCCTGGTGTGTACCTTCACTTGATGGTTTGTTTTCTCAGAGTATGGTCAATCCACCTCCATTTCTTCCTCCCTATTTGTTGCATAATGGGTTCTTGCTGGGTTGGTTCGCTCATTGCCAGAGATCACTGTTGCTGATCTTTTCTTGAGTAGTATTGAGAGAAGACAGCTGTTGGTGAAGGTCTGTATTTTATTCGAAGTGCCCTACGTGACGCGGCGTCAAGTGTCTGATACGTAAAGTAGCACTGATTTCACATTGAAGTTGAAAATCCGGATCTTATTTTTCATGCCGAATGCTGTTGACCTCCACACAGACTTGAGAGTAATGAAAGCTTTTCTTGCTTTTCCGATCCTCACTTTGATATCTTCGTCAGTTCCACCTGTAGTTGAAACGATGCTTCTCAGGTAGGTAAAGGAGGTTACTTCTTTCGAATTTCTCCCATTTATGCTGATTGTTGTCTGTTGTTGTTGCTGTTGGCCAGGAATCTTCATCACATCTGTCTTCCCTACGTTCATGTGAAGGAAAACCTATATTCTCTGGATGTTTCTTCTGCCAACTTGTTGCTTCTCACTTGCATATCTTCCAGTTTGTGGGAAACCAAACAAATATCATCAGGTCCCCCTCCAGAAGAGAATAAATTGTTCTGATTGGTTGGTGATCGGCTCAAGGTTAAACAATTAGTCTAATGAGATCACTTCAAGTTCAGAATTTGGGAATAAACACTCCGCAGCCATTGACTTCAATTTTCACCGCTGCCTATCTATCTGTATCACGCTGTAATATGACAAGATGTCATCGGAGATGTCTATGAGTAGCAGGTTAGATTATTTACGAAATTTGTAGACCGGTAAAGGGAGATCAGTTAGCTGTTGTATACGATGATACTGCATGACCCCATAGCTTCTGTGACCAACTACAGAGTCACTCACTATTCATCAGCTCAACGTGTATTGAGAAATACAGAGGTGGCGATATCATAACACATACAACACAAATATCCCTTTAGTTAGTAGGACCAATCCCATGTACGAATTCGAGTCTGTCACAGTTGTTGTTCATTTTATATATATCAAAAATATACTTCATCATTTAATTGTGTTTTTTTATTACAATAACATCGATTATTTAACCGGGTTCAAGAGCTACTGCAGCTTCTGTTTGTACAACACCCCATAGACCTTCTTTAATGTACACCTTTATACATTTCAGTTGGTCACTGCCAATTAGATTATTGTATGCTTTGTAGGTGGAACTGTTCCATGCTTCAAATGTTTTCAACATATTGTTCATGATGTCCAATTTAGCCTGCATCAATTGTATTTTATCCGTAAGACCAAGTTCTGTTTGACGATTAAGTAAATATTCGAAGAATCCAGGTTGTTGTATTATCTGTCGAACTCCCCAAGGCTGTTTAGAAAGGAAAAAAATACGAGGGAGATATTAATGTCTAACAGTCGTCTCTTCAGAATGCAGTACAACAATGATTTGATTGAAACGATATTTTTCATGCCTTTATGCTGCGAGTGGGACATAGGGCTTCAAGCTAGCGCTTTGAAGTTTCGGTAGCAATGGTTTTATTAATTTACGGGATTGGATTGCTAGTCACATGCTCAAACTTCCGTGTCTATCGGTTTGGCGAAGTTGAGGCGAGGATCGAACCCCGGACCACACGCGCGGTTCGCGAGCGTTCCACCGCCGAACCCTCGACGAAAGTATTTTTTCATCCGTTAGCGTTCCGAGTGGAAGTTTCAGGAGCAGTGGAATCGCCTCTAGAATGAGGGAGAGGGTATCAGGTTGCGAACCTCATGCCCAACCTTCCATCTTTTTCAGGACTGTTACTCACTATCTACGTGAGGTTAAGGAGTGCCTCGGCCGGTAATCGAACATCAGACCACGTGCATGACTGGCGAAGCATTCTACTCCCAAAACATTGACGTTTGTCCTGCCTAACTTACTGTGAGTTAGTAATTTTAAGCCAACCAAAATACGAAATTCACAGTTTGAGGGGTGAAATTTTTATCTGTTTCCTTTCCTTTGGAAACCAAATTATTCAGATCATAATATGTGATCGTGATCAGGTTGACATCATAAGTGGTAACCAAGAAAGCAAGCATATCTCCCTCTGAGTTCGGCCCCGAATGAGCGAAATGGCTCTTCAGTGTTTAGAACACAGCAAATTGGCCGAATAACAAGCACTGCTGGTTGATATTATTGCTGGTTCACAACTACTCATCTCAATCAATCAGTAGTGTGTATAATTTTATGCAAATATGCTTACTTTATTGATCACCATTTATGTTATCAAGCAGATCACATATTATGAAACTTTGGTGAAAATCTCACTCCTCCTCAAAATGTGCATTCCAAATTTCGAATTTGACTTATAGTATAATCACTTCTTCTCAGTAGCTTCTCAGAAATGGAGTGTTTCAAAGTGATTCGGCTTTCTAAGCTAAGCTAAACCAATCCGGGTTAAAACATTGAAGAGCTTGAATCAATCGGAGGTGTGTGTGCAGAAGAAACATGTCCAGCCAACCACTATTGCTACGCTGACCCGTTCTCAAACCTATAAATTCAAAAATTCTGTGTGTTACTTCTGTTAATTTGTCCTGGTATTCAATCAGTTTATTGTTATATGTGATGCATATTATCTCTCTCTCTCTTATTGATGCTTTTGAAATGTAATCTGTCGACACTGTTGCTTCAGTGTGATACAAAACAGCATTCATATTGTTAGTAACAATATTTCTCCAGTCAGTTACTCCCATATAAATGTAGAACCTGATGAACATTCTTTGTTCACTTATCAGGTGTTTTTTTTTAAATTAGATTATTACTGACGTAATTAAACATTGTGAACGAAATTCTGAGTATAATATATACACATCAGTATGTCGGTGGGGCTTAGTAATTGAATGCTCACCATGCATACGCGCGGTCTAGCGTTTGATTCCCGAGAGACACATTCTAAAACACCTTCTGGCCGGTATTAAGACCGGTAAAGAGGAGAGGTTGGGCATAAGACTGGCAATCCCACCCCACCCCCATCACTCCGTAAAGTAAAAATAGCACCACCACCACCACCATTACTGAGAATTTACAGCTTAAGGTTAAAGTTTCATGTTCCGCCAGAAAGCAAAGGAATGTAAGTATCAATTGTGTTGGTCCCCAGGGATTTTGAACACGAGTTGACATCACAGTTAGAGAACCACTGAAAACCACCGGGAAGTATTTTTTATTTTTTTATTACAGCTTGACTCCATACCGTATTTTTGGTACAAGTATGGAATTTTCAGCATGGATATCGGTAGCCCAAAATTCGCAGGCCAACCATAGATATCAGGTGTGCGTCGGCGTGGGCTCGAACCTCGGACCATGTGGATGGTCGGCGAGAGTCCTAACCACCGTGCCACCGACGGACAGCTGTTTTGGTTCTGGTGTTTGGGACTTATCGGGGTTCGAACCCAGTATTGTCCGATAACAAGACAAGCTCGTAGACCATTTACAGCCACTGGGACCCGATCCGTTGGCCCATGCATCCTAACTTCTGCCGATTCGCGATCTCAAACCAATGTCATTGGTGAGTAACTGATCTCTTAGCTGACTAACTTGGTGGACCCCACTGGTTACGAATTCTCACTAGGACCCTAGACAACTTCCTGTATACAGCCAGTAGGCAATAGTGAGCATCAGACTAATTATCAAGTGATGGTTTGTAGCGATTTTGAATGGTTACAGGTTTGATCACATGTTGAGAGAACCATTAGAAAAGTATATACACACACCTAATATAACCGTTACGTAATGACACAAATTTGTAAACCTACTTACTTGTGTGGCAATTGCATCTATAGCCTTGAATACAGCCACGCGTACATCAAAAAATGGTTGGGTAACTAGAGCATAAAGACGTTTCAACAGAGGTGCAACTAAAGCTTCTTTTTCTTCTGTTGTTGTTGTTGTTGTTGTAGGCGTTGTATTAATACCTTTCTGACAAGACATTACAGCCCAGTCAAGAGAGCGGATAGCATCGTCAAGTAGGCCATCGGTAACCATCACTCCACCTGGTCGTCGAAGCAGAAAACTATAACATCCAACAGCTCGAGTGCATATTTCACTTGGTGAATTAGATATTAGCAGGAAAAGTTTTGATAAAACATTACGAAATGCACAATCATTAGCTAAAATCAAAAGAAGTAAAAAAAAAGCAAAGGACTCAGTGATAAACTTAACATATTCAATGCTCAAACTAATTATAAGAGTTTTTATTGGACACTACTAACTAGTGTCATGTGTCTAGTCCTTCGTTTACTGTAGAGTGAATTCCTATTGTCAGTCAAGTATGCAATGTGCCTCCCCCCATGTTAGGTGGCTCGCCATCATGGCACACTCAGTGGTAACGTCTCTGACTGCAGCACTGCACTGGGTGACGCAGGTTCGAATCTCAGTTCCTTTGAGATTGTAGACACGCCTTGCTGACGAGTGCCAACAAGCTCGAAACCTAGGTCAAGCCAGGCTTCCTGCCGATTGCCTCCACCTATCTAATAAATTATAAGAGTATTTACTTAACATCTCACAAATTGACAGCCGTATAAAAATGGTGGCCACCTTCACTTAGGCTATTTGACTAAAAGCTTCATAATCTATTTTACTAGGGAAAATAAAACTATAATTTACAATTAAGAATGACCTAAAATTTGTGTTAAAATACAGTAATGATTCTGAGAAGTGTTTGTATGAACAACTTTATGTAATCACTAAGAAGAAAGTGGTAGACAAATCTCTGCCTCATGAAATTCACCGACAGCGGCGACCGCAAGGTCATTTTAAAACTATTTCAACACTATGGAGTGCACTGAATCCCTGTCAGCCTCGTTCAACGGCTAAATGGCAATGCCACATGTCAAGTGGTCCACTTCGGGAAACTCGGAGAAGCCTTTGAAGTGAAGACAGGAGTAAGACATGGCTGCCTACTATCACTGATGACATTCGTGATTTTGGTGGACTGGATTATGCAGAACACCGTATGTGGAGAGCAAAAAGACAGGAATACGTTGGACCACCGACATGAAGACTCTAGAAGATCTGAACTTCACGGAGGATTTATGTCCAACGTCAAACAAACTCGAAGACTTACAGGTGAAAGCCAACAAACTGGTAGAAGAGGCAGGAGATGAAGACAGAGAGAGAGAGTTTCAAGCGAGCATAAGATGGTGGGGGTGATGACGGGAAAAATTTGAAAGAGATCACTTCCTTAGCTTATCTAGGCAGCGTCGTTCCAACTATAGACGATAGCACGGATGAGGATGTCGAAACCAGACAGAATCAGAAAGGCAACATACAGATGTCATTCACTGTGAAATCAGTTTGGAAATCTTCTGCACTCCGCATTATTAACAACAAAATTCGGATTTCCAACACCAATATCATAAGTCAGTCATTTCTCCTGTATGGGGCACAAACTTGGCTTGCAGGTCAAAGAAAGCATTTCCAACAGGCCACTGCAGACTTTTATCCACAATGATTTCGCCAGCGCAATATGAAAGTTAACATGGTCGGCCAGAAAGAACTATCAACAAAAAGAAACTCTGAGAACGAACCAACCAAGGACTTATAACTCAACAAATATCCCGAAAAAAATGCAGTTGGATCCGACACACGCTGAGAAGACTGTTGGGTAGCATATCGTGCAAGGCAGAACCTCAAGTGGAACTCAAATGAGACGACGACTTCGGTGTGAGTCTGAGGGGACATGAAGGAGATCATGTGAGGAGGAGATGGAAGCGTATAAGGCAACCCGTGGAGCCAGCTAAGGCGAACTGCAGAGAACAGGACGGAATGGACATGTCCTGTCGAAGCTGTATGTTCCACTAAGAGCCCAAAGCAATAATAACAATAGTAATAATACTCACTACATATTTCTTTTTGCATCACAAGCAAAGTTATCGAATTGAAAGGAACTGGGGTTTGTAGTCACAAGTACATCACTTGACCCCGTATCAATTATCAGTAGTGAACATACGGACATACAATATTCGATTTCAACAGAAAGTAACACAAATTCGAATCCCAGAGGCAGCATAAATTTCCATCTTCAACGGAAGTTACAACACCATCAAAGACCACCGTCGAGTTGACTATAAATGTCTAGATCTAAAACATCATAGAGTCACTCAGCTTTGTGATTACACGATGATCGAAACACTTAAAATTAAGCAGATAAAGTGTACCCCCTCTCTCTCTCTCAAACACATCTTGGATATTAGCGGAAATGTTTGTCTAATTTAGCTAATGATAAATAACCTTCATACCAAAAGTGTTCAAGTTTCTGTGGTGATCTTTTCCCCATAACAAAAAAAACTTAATTATTTTGGTTACCGATTAGTTTTATATTTGTATAAAAGTACAAGATATCTATTACTGGGTTCACGTTTCTTATTGTACTAAGCTGTTCTACATGCTTTAAATAAGAAGCTTTACAATACTACTCCATTTATGGATAAAATTCTGTTTTGACAAGGTCATACAGTGTTATACAGTAGTGTTTATTGATGACCACATTTCGAGAACAATTTGTTATCGCTTGTAGTCATCATATCAAGGCATTACTCACATAATTTTGATATAAGTATAAACCTTTGGCACTGTGGTGAAGTATAACTCCATTATGGCTAAGATTTTATTTTGATAAATCACGCAGTGTCATTCATGCAGTAATATTGACTGATGACATTTCGAGCACAAATTATTGCTCATAATCATATGAAGTCACACACAACTTTTTGTTTTCATTTATATGCATGAGTAATCGCAATGCACGCATTAACACACAACCATACAACAGGATGGGTGGGAGAGGGTTAATATTCCAAGAAGTAATATTAATAGGTGGAGATGGAGAGAGATTGCCTCCAAAGCCTCAGGATGGTCGCGGGTGGGTGTCTTGCGCTGAGGGTTGGCCACTCCTGCGCACACCTCTTGAAATGCTCCCATATGACCGGGCGTCTTACATAGCCTCTCCTGAGGAAGTCCTACTCACTGCCTTCACGTGGCGGAGGTGTTTCTCACCAAAGTGAGAGGGCAAAAGCGGATGCCCGGCGCTCCTCACCGGGTTGACTGTCCGTTGGAAGACAGTCTAGGGGAGATGGCTAAACCCTGATTCCAAACCTCCAACGACTGGCGTATGAAGCTTACTGGAGCTCACCGGCAGACGTATGGACAAAGGGCTTGTTGGATGTCCTGGATGTCTGGCCCCATTCAAAAAGGCGTATGAACCGAACTCCGGTCATCGGCTGCCAATGGATAGTGGACTCCTTACTCCACTCCTACTGCCTTGTAGGTCACACTTGACTGTGTAAAGGCTAGAGCTGCACTCTCAAACAAAAGGCCGAGCGACGCTGGGGACATCACTCGTACCAAATTCCCATGAAACTACATGAACTCTCTTATAAATTGCCGCGCCTGGGCAGCGATGATTCGAGACGTTCATGAAGCCGGCTCATCCTCCCGTAGGAGATAGCCGAAGTAAAGTAAGTAAGTAAGTATAGAGAGAGATTGATTACTGAATCCTTGTTCACCGAGTGAATCTGCACCCAACACATGCAATAGAAGTAACTCAACGCAAATACCAGAGATATGGAAGATATTATCACCCCCAGTCAGTCAAATCAGAGGAGGATAATAAATAATCTTAAAATGTATTCAATTCAATTCACATTCTAACAAGTTACTTATGATTTTTACTATAAAAACACCTTATTTCCCATCTTACTGTATTTTATTGATAACACTAATATTATTATTTCCTAATGTACTTCCTTATCTTACATTGAGTTTGTTCAAATGTCTAGTCATCAATTTTTACTCATGTATATGAACGAAGCAAGAAAGTTGTGTGTGTGTGTGTGAGAGAGTGCCTTGATATGATGACGATGAGCAGTAATAAATTGTACTCAAAACGTATTCATCAGTAAATATTACTGTATAACAAACACTGTGTGTGATTTTATCAAAATAAAATTTTATCCATAATGGAGTTATTATACTCTACCACCACAGTGCCCAAGTTTTATCCTTATATTTTTGCAATACTATTTATAGTGAATTAATTTAAATGAAGTGTTCAAAAGATAAATAAAAGTTACAAGCGATATTTTTATCGGTTTAAAGTTCACCGGCTGACTGACTGACTGACTAACTGGTTTTAACACAGAACTTTGCGCAGAAGTACAACAGTTCAGGTTGCCATACTCCATACAGCATACAAATTAGGAAAAATAAGATTAAAAAAAAGACAATAAGCAGAAATGTGATGTAGAAAGAATAATAACGTGGGAAAAGGATGAGAATTTCAAGTACACAGTTGATCACAGAGACAGAATGCATCTTCACCACAGAGAACGGTCTCCAGTCATTGAGTCTTAGAATCCCGAAGACCCCAGCCAAGCAGTCCACGTCTCTCTACGTGGCTGGCTCACACCAACTGGCAAAGACAACATGGATTAGTTCTACGCCTCGGTTTAAACACCATTAACTCTTTTCCGAACTGAAACTATGTCGAAAATTGCCTTCTCGGTCTTTACTTTACATTCAATGCCTAACTTCAATATTACTCATCCTATTATACCACCTAACAAGGGAAATAGAAAGCAGACACCTATGATCAAAGACAGTTAGGTAGTCTTTTCATGTCTTTCACTTTCAATGGTTATGTCTCACAGCCATGAAGGAGGACAGAACGAACTGCTAAGCAGTAAACACGTTCTTTGATCGATATCCGGATATCACGTCCACAGCAAAGATGACTTAAGTTGGAGAGTACCACATGAGCCTTCTATATCCATGCTGTGATTTCGTCAACAGCAACCAGTCCGATGCGGCTAATTCCACTTCTCAAATAAGTGAATTGGTCGCTAACACATCCTACCACTCCACTTCCTATCTTAAAGCCAGAAGTCGGTGTAGTCCAACCCGATAGCATGATCTTACATTTGACAGGAGCGGATCCCATGACAGATCTGAAGATTGTTACTCAAGATTTCCAGAAGACTCTTGATTATATTAGATGGTTGGAGGCGATCGGCAGGAAGCCCTAATAGCTCAGTGGTAAAGTCTCTGGCTGCAGCACTGCACTGGGTTACACTGTGGTTCGAATTTTAAAAAGGACATGAGTTCCTTTAAGGTTGCAGATACCGCCTTGCTGGCTGATGAGTGCCAACTAGCACGAAACGTAGGTCCAAAAAGCTTCTCGTGACCGATTGCCTCCAGGCATCTAATAGCAACAATACAAAGTGCACCGTGATTCAGTCTGCACCAAACAAACGACCATACACACACACACACATCACGCTAGTTACTAGCTAGTGACCAATCAAAGTAAACTCTGCATCATTTTCTTCAATGAACTTGAAGAAAATAAGTGAAGGTGACACCTTTGTTGAATTTCTTCTGTTACTCATGTTCGGTTTACATTGATACAATCAACATAAAAATAAAGTTTAAAAAGGTGACAAGCTAACAAAACAAATACAAGACAAGAAGGTTTGTCTGTCTGTCTGTTTCCGACGTAGAATTTTGCACAAATGTGCACCAGTTCAAGTCGCCACACACCCTCCATGTAGCACATAAAGCAAGAGAAGAAATTACAAGAAAAGCATAATAGAGACAGCAAGCACAGGTGTGAGACAAAGGAGGAGTAATAACGAAGAACAAAACAGTTTCATTGGAAATCATAAGTCACAAGGAGTGGATGCATCTGCGCCAGCCATTAAGAACGATTTCGAGCCATGTCACCAATTGTTTCCAACCATAGAATTTTACCGTCCCGAGGACCCCAGCTTGGAAGTCTACACCTTCCTACGTGGCTTAGACCAACTGTTGTGGATTTCATTGACTGATGCCAAGTTTTTGTTTGACCGCCGCTAGCTTTTTTCCAGCCTGACCCTATATCCGCTAACATTGCTCGTCGAGGAAGGCGATGGCTAGGCATACGTAGCACATGTCCTAACCATCTCAGTCTTTGTAACTTCACAACTTCCTCGATTGATTTCCCCTGTTTACCTAGAACTCAACGCCTAACTTCAATGTTGCTCGCCTTATTATGCCACTTTACACGGGAAATAGAGTGCAGGCACCTATGATCAAAGACAGCTAGTCTTTTCATGTCTTCCACTCTGAGTGGCCAGGTCTCACAGCTGGCCATAAAGGAGGACGGAGCGGACTGATGAGCAGTACACCCGCCCTTTGGTCGATAGTCAAACATCTCGTCTACGCCAGAGTCGGTGTAAACTGGCAAATGCGAAACGAGCCCCTTGTATTCGTGCTGAGATTTAGTCAGAGATCAACCCGTTGGCACTGGCTGATGGTACTTCCCAAATAAGTGAAGCGGTCAACGTGCTCTACAAGGAGGGCAAAAAAACGTATAGCTATATCGAAAACACTTCAGAGCAATGCCTTGAAAAGAAAAAAATAATAATCATTCTCACCGAATAGCCTGTTTAAAGCTATACGACCAGCCAGAGTGGTTGCTATGCATCCAACAGTTTCCAAGGCTGTCATAGATATACTTATATTTTTATTTTCTACTGCATTCGCTAAAATATCTTTGAATCCTTCTCCTCCTCCTTTGTTTGAATCATCAAGCCAATAATCAGGAACATGTTTGGCTAGATTACCGAAGAATGCGATATATCCTAAAAATGATTTAAAATAAAATAAAAAGAAAGGCATGTTCTTTCATTTTTGTTGTTGCTAATAAATTTATAGCGATAAAAATACTTTGAGTAGAATAACCTTTAGGCTAGCTAAGTCGCATCATCCTGGAGAGAATAAAAGAAGCACTGAATACAGAACTCAGCCTCACTCCACCCCAGAACAAGCTGGATTCAGGAAAGGCAAATTATGTGCTGACCATCGAATTGCAACTCTATGAATCGTCATCGCCATCGAACAAAGCATAGAATGGCAGTCAAACCTCTACTTTAACTTCATCGACTTCGAAAAGGCCTTTAACAAACAGTGTTGACCAAGAAGCAATTTGGAAATTACTTCAACACTACAGCGTGCAGTGCCCAAGTCTTTGTTAACCTCATTCAACAGCTATATGACAGTGTTATGTATCAAGTGATCCAAAACGGAAAATTCAGCGGAGAAAACCGAGGCTGCCTGCCTATTATCACCGATGATATTCCTAGTTGTGGTGGACTGGATTATGAATCAGACTGTGGGGAGCAAGGAGTCAGGAACACGCTGGACCACCAATAAGAAGATTCTAGAAGATCTGGACTTCGCGGAGGATTTATGTCTAGTGGTCACACAAACTCGAACACTTACAGGTGAAAACCAAAAAAATGGCTGAAGAGGCTGGCTGGTGGCGAAGACATGACCGCATGTGAACATAGAGATGAAGATAACCAACCAACGACCAGCAACAACAACTAGCACCAATCACCATCAACGGAAGAGATTTAACACAGGTTACCTCCTTCGCTTATCTGGCCAGAAAGCATACTTTAAACCACAGGTAGTCAGAACGGACGAAGAAATTAAAAGTCAGGATCGGAAACGCAAGATACGTCTTCATCTACTTGAAACCAGTTTTGAAATTTTCTGCACTCAGTATAAGGAACAAGATTTAGGTTTTTAACACCAATGTGAAGTCGTTCCTTTTATATGGGCCAGAAACTTGCACTGCATGTCACGAAAAGGATTTCCAGCAGGTTACAGACTTTTATCAACAGTTGCCACCTTCACTGGTTTCATACTGAAGATCAAATGGCCAGCCAGAAAAAATTAGCAACAAGAAATTCCGGCTGTGGACAAACCAACAGGCGAGAGCCGATTGCTCAACAAATTTGTGGGAGAAAATGGAGATGGATCAGGCATACGTTGAGAAGACCGTCAATGACATTGCGCGCAATGTAGACTATCGCTCGAGTGGAATCCAAATGGGAAACGACGAGTGGGTCGTCAGTGCGATGGTGACGTTGAGGATATCAAGTGAGAAAGAGATGAGAGATTATGGTCAGTCGTGAACCCAGCTGAAGAGGATAGCGGAAAATCGAAGAAAGGGGAGATTTGTTGTTGAAGCCAGCTTTATATTCCACTCGGAACCTAAGGGAATAATAATAACAATAACTAAGTCACTTGTATATGTTACTGGATGTCTTTGTAGAGGACTTGTTGGATCACCAAATGCAAGAGAACTTAAGTCTGCAACTTACCAAAGCAACGAAATTAGGAAATCCTTTTAAACAACTCATTGCACCCATGAAGTAAGTTGGTGGATGATGACTAGCAATGGAACTCAGCATGTGCATTTCGTCTTATTCAAGACCCTACATTCCTCAGTGAGTGGTAGTGTTCTCACTGAGGCTCGAACCAACTGCCTGTAGTTTTAAATGCCAGAGCGCTATCCACTAGACCACTTAGGCATCAGTGGGAACCCCATCACTCACTCACTCACTGGGGAATGCAGGCCCATCAATCGGATGAGTCCCCAATGGGACGAAATGCGAGTCCTAGTGGATTCCACTGCTAGTCACCTACCCATCAAATTACTTCAGGTTAAATGCTCAGACATCGCCAAAGCATTCGCACAAAGAGCCGATATGTCAAACAGAGACCGAACAACTCGGTCCAATCAACCAACGGAAAAGTTTAAATTGAAGCAAAAATAACTATAATTTATTCTGTTTCTACAGTTTGGTTTGTAAGGGTTGGTTATGTTATTACGAGTTGATCACGGATTGATATCAGTTAGAGAACCACTAGAAACTAGCCACAGGGAGTACTGGACAGTTGTTCCATCAGGCTAGTTTGGGAATCATCGACAGTACGCACCCACTGGGATTCGAACCCAGGACCTTACGGTTACAAGGCAAGCTAGCTAGTATACCATTCAGCCACTGGGACCCGATTCAATGGCCAATTCATGGATTCTAACTTCTACCATTTCGTGATTTAGCGCGACCGCCAACCAATGTCATCGGTGGGACATCCATTCTCACACGTGGCATCTGGATGAATCTCATTGGTCACAACTTCTCACTAGAACTTCAGGAAACTCCATCCTGTAGCAAGTCACTAGCGAGCATCAGATTAATTTTCTATAGTTTGGATGAAACGGCTGTCCATTACTCCCTGCGGCTGGTTTTCAATGGTTCTCTAACTGATATCAATCCGTGGTCAACTCGTAAAAATTTATTTTGCAATGAAAGTGGACTGAAAATCTCTCGACAAAAATTTAATTTATAAATTGTTTAATGTTTATGCTCGATATACGCTATGTGGCATAAACTGCATCAGACTGGGGGGGGAGGGGAGGGAGGGTAAAATACTAAAAATAACTGCAGAGTTAAGCGATGTATTTTATATTGTTGTTATACTCTAGTACCAAGTAATAATGATGAGAAGCATTTTCCATATAAATCTTACATGATGAAACGAGGCGTTCAGTAGCATACAAAGAAACACACATTAATACGAATACCAGGATATGTTGTTAAGTATATCACCTCAAATATACATATTTCTCAATACAAAACACACTTTAACTCACCTGGAAGCAATAAATCCGCCAATGAATCAGAACTAAACGATCGTAAATCATTCATCAGTCTAGTAAATATATCCTTTTCACTGAGAAATTGATAACCAGTCTGCGTATCAGTCAGCATTTTAGCCAATTCTAACCAATTCAAGCAAACTAATGGATCTCTTGAGCTTAAACCATCCAAAATAGGCTGGAGTAGACCAGAATTCTTAACATCTTGAAAGATTTCAGGGCGTACAGAAGCTAAATGCACAGCGAACTAAATTAACACATTAATTTCAATTAACACACACAAACATATTACTTCAGAAACTCTTATTGAATGCTCTGGTTTAGTACATGAAGATTTTAGTGTGTCTATTATTGGAGCACCAAGTACCTTTTTTAAACCCAATGGACATTTACTGCCTAAAACCTTAAAATAGAACAAATATCAACTGGCTTACACTACCTAATGTTATCAAAAAATTTTGTGCTTCTGTAGATATAGAAAGTCTTTCGTGTAGAACTAGCCGAGCTACAGCCTCCAGGAAACGATCGGGTAGATTGTCTACTGAACAGTCAGCTTCAGTGGCGCCAACTCTTAACTATGAAAAAAAATAACTTGACAGTAATTCCCGTAGTTACTCTTTTCAAAATGAATTCAATTAAATCGAATTTAGTTGACTCGATGATTAAGAGTAATTCATCTTCGTGAGATTGAACAAAGTCGAATAAAGGTACAAGTGAAAATACAATAGTCGCTAGTTTCATTGCAATTTGAGATGACTGTCTAAAAATAAAATGAAATAATTAAATTCGAAATGATTCAACAAACTTGTCCTGTAAATTGATAGACATTAAAGCTTTTAGAATATCACATTTTCGGAAAACAGAACGTAATTCTGTTGTTGACAGATTGGAAAGAATTAAACAAATACGTTCATAATCTTCCGTACTACCGTTTCCACTAGAAACACTTGATATGAGAACGAAAAGTTCATCGGGAATAGTCATTTTGGAGTTGACTACTTTTTCTACAAAAAATTATAAAAAATATTTAAAAAAACATTTATAAAGCTAATAGTAGACACCAGCAGAAAAATGTAGAAGTATAAGTAATAAAGAAGAATGTTAGAAAGCTTTATAGGAAATTATACACAACTGACAAACTGTCAAGTATAGTGTACTGAAGAGATTTAACAGTCTTTTCGGCTTCTCAATTTCACTAAACACTCCGATTCCATCACATTTTTACTCCACAAAACGCCATATATGTGTATATGTACATAAAAGGGAGACGTGATATCCGCCTGGCTATCGACCAAAGAGCAGGTGTACCGCTCATCGTTCTGCTCCGTCCTCCTTCATGACTGTGAGACCTGGCCATTGAGAGTGAAAGACATGAAAAGTCTGGCTAACTGTCTTTGATCCTAAGTGTCTGCGTGGCGACTTGAACTGCCGCACATTTGTGCAAAGTTCTATGTCGAAAACAGACAGACAGAAATGTCTGCGTTCTATCTCCCGTGTGAAGCGGTATAATAAGGTGAGCAATATTGAGGTTACACATCAGTCCAGTGATAGGTAGGGAGGGGAAATCAATCGACGAGGCTGCAAAGCTACATCTACTGAGACGGTTAGGACATGTGTTACGTATGGTTCCCTAGCCATTGCCTTCCTCCATTGGGCGATGTTAGCTGACATAGGGTCAGGCTGGAAAAGAGCTGGCGGCGGTCAAAACAAAACATGGCACCAGTCAATGAAATCCACAACAGTTAGTTTAAGCCAGTCACGTAGGAATATGTAGACTTCCTAGTAGGTGTCTTCAGGACGGTAAAAACCAGTGGCTGGAAACAATCGGTGATATGGCTCAAATTCGTTCTCAATCAATGGCTCAGATGCATCCACTCCTTATGACTTATAATTTGCAATAGAACTATATTGTTCTTCGTTATTACTATTCCTTTTGTCTCATATCCGTGTTTACTGTCTCTAATATGCATTTCTTCTACTTTCTTCTCTTGCTTTGTGTGCTACATGGAAGGGGTGTTGCGACCTAAACTGCTGCACATCGATGCAAAGTTCTATGATGAAAACAGACAGATAGACAGACATAATAGGGAGCGGATTAGTGCTACATGATCGCAGAACCTAGAAGATGACCTCTTCAGACCGATTACACACGTTTTCTTAGAAGTGTAGTCGCGTCCGTGTGAAGATCCTACTACCAGCTACAGGTCACCACAGGGTAAATAAGGATGGACTTCCTATATGAGCATGAATTCTAGCTAGTGTCGCTCATTGGGTCATTGTGACATGCACCACGTCAAGGTAGCAGCTATTGCTCAGGGTGGACAATCACAAAATACTTTCTTTTAATTTTCTATCTCCTCACAAACGAAATAGACCAATAGTGATGATAGTGTAACACAGCTAAAATGTGGTTCTTGTACTAAGTAACAAATTACAACTATACTTAGAACTATGATATTATTTGGCTGTTCAAAATACAGTGCTAGAGCCTATAATTCAACAGTTGAAAGTCTAGTGACTACTACAGTGATACATTAATTTGTCATTTTTAGTGCAAAATAAGTAGACAAATGCAAGCGTATCTCTAATGTCTGGAATTTCAAGGAATCTCATCTCCCTTTAAATCACATCGATGCACATTTATGCTTCATTGCAAAGCGACAAAAAGAAATGAAAATATACACAATATTTTCAATTTGCTTAGATATAGAAGTTCTTATACACTACAGTAAAAACATTGAATAGCACTATCTTGCCTGAAACATCCTATCCAAAATAGAATGATATAAAGTTGACATATGACTTCATATTAGTTTTATGTGGGGACTCGTTGCACTGGTAATTCCTACGAAATGAAAGTCAATTGGTGACAAGTATATCAGCTGACAGAAGTTGACGAATCTGCCACCCAAAACTGTGGGATTCCCTAAAATTATATTTCAAATGATGCATGGATAAATCTTCAATCAGCTTAAAACGCAGTAAGAGTGAACAGTATTATTTTGTATACAAGAAAGATGAACAGAAACCTGAAATTAGTTGGGCACTCATAAATTTCTGCATTTTGAATTAACGGACTGTTGTTTTTCTTGCATAATCGTTGCTCCTGTTGAACGGTGTATGTCTTTAGTCCACTGCTGACATGTTAGTAAGACTGACTGACTGGTTTTAACATAAAACTTTGCACAGATGTCCAGCAGTTTGAGTTGCCACGTTTCACTTAGGACACAAAGCAAGAAAAGAAAGTAAAAAGAAATGCATAACAGAGACAGTAGACAGGGATATGACAAAAAGAATAGTAATATCGCAGAACAACATAGTCTTATTGGATACTATAAGTCACAAGGATTGGATGCATCTGCGCCATTGAGAACACTTTTGAGCCATATCGCCAATTGTCTCCAACCATTGGTGTTTGCCGTCCCAAGGACACCAACCAGGAAGTCTACACCTTCCTATGTGGCTTTAAACTAGCTGCTGTGGATTTCATCATGTTAGTAAGAGGTTATTCTGAAGATGTAACCGGCGTATGCATAGACATGTCAGGAGGAAAAGTTAGTACTGACAATGATGTTTTTTCGTTCTGACGAACAAATGAACAAAAGTTTCACATAAAACGAACAGTTGTGTCTCAATAATAAGTTAAACAACCTTAAAGTTGGAACACATTACTGAAAAAAGTGCTTAATCACAGTGAAGCTTATTTTACAGATAAATATTAAGAAATATTATCAGAAAAACCGTTAAAATTGAACTTGGTTTGGACATATATTATCAGAAAACTTTTAAAGAATTTTTCATGAGTACTAGTATGTAATTAGTCCATTTTGTCAACCGATCAATTATTTTAACGGTGCAAAAAGCTTAGAAACCGTCACAAAAAAAGAGAAAACTCTATACTGTTAAGAACTCAGAAGTATGCATATGAACTACTATAAGTAGAAAATATTACATGATAATCGCGAGACTAATTCAAGGTTTTTGTTTATCTTTTCGCCACTAGCGATAACGTCCGTTCCCACAGTATTTTGATTAGTATGCGTATTTAGACACGCAGATGGAGGTAGTTAGTCAAATTCTAATGAAATATCTGTCTCCTAAATTAATTTAAATCAATGTCTATAATGGATTCTGACTGGATAGATGTAAGTAAACGTCCTTTGAGAATTGTAAGCATACAGAACGTCTAATTCTAACTAAATAGTTGTTTTTCTTTCGTTCCACTTAATCGGATGAGACGTGACCAATTAGTAGATGAAATGCAACATAAAACATCTACATTTCCCTATTTTCTCCATGTTGCCACTCACGGCTCCTCTTTCCAATTCCCTAAAAATTAATTGCTCCATTTTTCTTACGCTCCTCATGGGAGCAAAAAAGTTAAACAAATTTTTGAACAGAATGCTGCCCACGTTTTTACCCACTTCACCCATGTTCACGAAAAAATCCCCCCATTTGATGGCTATAGCTCCCAGAATTTCGGCTAAATTTTTGGTACTTCTGAGTACATTCCCGAAAGAAACTTCGAGGGCAGTACAGACAATGGTAGCTCGAGGAACTGTGTGATACCTATTCCGAATTACTAATTAATCCCAGAGTTGATTTTTCATGATGTGTTCAGAGGTGTCACGGAGCACCAAAACTTTTGACTAAAGGCGTTAGACAGCAACTCTCTTATTAAAACCGTGTATTAAAAAATATGCGAGCGACAAAAATGGAAGCAGTTAGGTTCATACATTAACAGATCTGAGTGTTCATCATGACGAGTACTATTAATTTAATACTTCCGAAATAAGAATTTGTTTTCGAGCAGAATAACGCCAAATTTTTTAGGAAGTGCATAAAGACGTCAGCACTTCCTCCAATGTCCTGATATTCAGATGATAAGGATTGTAGGAACGTGTGGCCCTGGCCACAGCTGTGATAGTCCTTGCAACATATATATGCGGAGATTTAATTCCTCCTTGAAAACGTCCACCGAAAGAACCGATACTAATGCTTCGGGTAGGTAGTTCCGGCTGCTAACCAATTAATAAGGAATTTCACACATTTTGATCGTCCATAATTAACCGAAAATAATTGTTTCTTAGGGTTTTAACCGCCTGATCTTGATGTGTATTTATACATAAAGTAATTTAAAAGCGCTTCGATTTAATTGCGTGTTTCTACGAAGGATTTTAAGTACCAACTAAATGATTTACACATAAACATAAACATAAACTGACTGCTGACAGCAACGCAACTATTCAAGAGACGCGGTTGCCACTTCAGATTCAGATTTCAGATTTATTGGTTGAGGATAGAAGGCTTGGAGCCTATGTTAATCCTTTTCTAGTAGATTTCTGTGGTTGTCCAAACCTTTCTTGAACGAATCAGTTTAGGTTGCAGACACCACTTCTTCTGGGAGTCGGTTCTAAGAGTTTATTACTAGATGTGAGAACCAGTACTCAACAGCAATATGATTTCTCCTTGGCTTTTGAACTCTCCTGCTATGTCCTCTAAGGTGTTCCGACCTGGTGGGTAGGAAAAGAGAGAATAGGTCGGGTCCGTAGTCATTATTTAAAATTCTAAACATTGTGATTAAATCTTCTCTCTGCCTACTGTACGACAGTGAGAAGAGATTTAAACTGTCTAGTCTGTCCTCGTATGATAAGTTAGCTATGCCGTGAGCCATACGTGTTGCCTTCCTTTGAACACTTACTAGAATGTGTGAATCCCCTTTTAGACAAGGACTGGCGGTCTGGATGAGGTTTTCCAGTCTTGACCTAACCAGAGAAGTATATAAGGAGGTGAACATATCTCTGGTAATTCTAGTAGAGGCTCTGCGAACCGCCCATAAGGACCTGAAATTACGCACAGCCACCGCGCGACAGTGTGCTGCAGTTTTTAAGTCGTGGCTGACTATGACACCTAAGTCCAAATGAGTCTGAACTGATGGAAGTGTTATTCCCTCTAATTCGTAGGAGCTTGTGCTTGACTGTCCGAGTGAACCGAGAGTGAATTAAAATAACCAAAGGCAAGATCAGGGTTCATCTAAAGTTGACCTGAAAGAACTAATCTACACGGGATAGCGACACAAATGGCTTACGGAAAGCCTGAGCACTTGCATGTCACTTATGCACACTGTGATTAGTAGATTTTCCTTTGCGTAAACGTTGCGGCTTATACGTGTTGTACGTTACTGAGGCGGGCTTTGAAATGGCACTCATAAAATCGGATAGACAGTAAATTTTCAGCCTAAGGGAAAAAGCTAGCTTGTAAATAAATTCCACAGATGTGATAAGCATTGCATCCACTTACAAGAAGAATATTACTGGGTAACTTAATCAAAGAAAGAAGTATAGAGTTTGAAGATTTGATCTCTTTCAGCTGGTTGTAACGGATGGATAAGAGTCACTTGTATAATATTTGCTTTTAACACAAGAGAAAGTGTGACAGGTGATTTGGAAGTTCCACGATTATTCAAATCTATCGTGGAATATATGGACGACTAATCAAACGAATTTCACCAACTCCGTGATTGTTCCCTCCCTTGTTCACAAATTCAATGTGGCTAAGATAAGAAATTATTCACCAGAAGTAAGATTAATTCACCTGGTATGTATAGATTCTCAGATATTTCGCAAGACGGCCGAACGTATTCGAATATAATCTCAGTCTCTGCTTGAAAAGTTCGCATCCGGTTCCTCCGGACGGATCTGATGGTGACGAAAACTGCAAAGACTGGTCCATGACCACTACCGACGGGGACAAAATGATACATGTGTTGCGGATTGAGTGTTTAGTGGACTTTGTGGTGACTATAACGTAGCTATAAAAACTCTAAAACTGTGATTTTTTCACTGGATTGTTATTAAATTTTTTTAATGGAGATGTGTACATTTTCATGCCAGTTTATTAATTTAAACTTGATGGATTATTGTTTCGTTGCAAATATATGCATTTAAGTCGAATACCCTTGTCTCTTTTACTTATCATTTCGTAGACATTGCATAGTTAACGAGGTTTATATGCAAAGTTGTAATATGCATGTGAAATACGTCAGTTTTAAACTGTTATTATTTTCTTAGTCCGTCATCGAGTCGTGTGTAAAGTGTTTCAGCTACGTTTGATCCGGTTGCGTACAATATTAGTAGTCGCTGAACATGTGTTTGCACTGTAATAACAAAACATAACCAAGCAAATATAGGTTCTTTGCGTACACGACTTGTATTGGCAGTCTACTCACTTCAAGTGCACTATGCAACGTATATCCTATTCGTCACAAATAGTCTTATGTTGCGTCTAACACCACTATCTGAAGAGAAATGATTAGGTGATAAAGAGGTAACTACATTACTCTTCTTGTGTTATCATTTTGTATCAAAGGACTCTTACACGATCACATCAACACTTAGTCTTGTGTATTAGTCGACTACGTCACTAAACTTCATTGATACTTTTTTCATCATCAATACTGCAACTCATTAGATAGGCTTTTGTTGTGCATATCGACCGCTTAAGGTTTACTGGCGTAAGCAGTTATTCAAAAGCGATAACAGTACCCCATAATGACCAAATTCAACCAAATGTAAATATGACATTTTACGAATATTACGTCTTCTACACTGGCATCACTCTGAAGCTCGATAAAAGTCAAGTATTGACAGCGTATAAATGGAGTGCAAATTTTTTTAAGAAATATGTATTTCAATAAATACATGCATAATATCAAAAATATTTCACCACTTACACAAGTATTATCCTTTTAATTCCTATTATAATGTCTAAATGTACTGAGTAACTGCGGGAGTGAGGACCATAATCTGGAAATAGAAATAACAAAAGTTTAGTCGGGAAATGATGGGTTGAATGAAAAACTAAAAGTGTCTACCAATTAAATGCATGTCTGGCAAAGTGTTGCTTAAGGTTTAACTTCGCCGAATGTCTCTTCACCGTTATCTGACGAAATAACCAGCTCAGTTTTCTTTCTTACTGTGAAATTTTGCAAAGATCATGAAATCGTAAATACTTCCATCGTATTACTTCCATCCATTAATTCTGTCCTAGCAATCCTAGAGCTCTCAACCGAAAATGTCACTTCACTAAGTCGACGCTTAAGTTCGTTTTTTAGGCGAAGACTTACCACCTTCCCGCTTAACAACCATTACGGTAAGAAGACTCAGATTTTAACTACTCTGCTAAATGATTCTTCTCGCATGGGATGAAATGCTATAACTCACCACGGGAATATCTGCAGATCCAAAGCTTGAAAATAGGCTATGGAAAAATTATGAATAGTTCCGACTGAATATAACCATTTTTCAACGACCAAAATGCCCATGGATTTTCCGGTCCGGATTGTGGCCAAAAATAGGAGGAGAAGTTAGGCGACCTATTGGTGTTTAAACTCCACTCTGATTGGCTTTATTCACATCCCGTCTAATTGTAACATCACAGTCCGTTTCTGCTGTGGTTTGATGACAAGTTTTACTTTTGCATGCTGTTTAAAAGAAATTTTTTCATCAAAAAGTTTGAAAGACGTATACAGTGTTGGCGGCTTAATACACTGAAATACCATGCATTATCTGCATTTCCATCAGAAAATTCAGCCTGATACTGGCAACTACACAGTGCAGCGGATCAGGTGATGTAGTATGTTATGAATTTTCATGAAACAAAGCTGGTATGTTCGGTCTACTTATATAACGCTCCATCGCCCACCGGATAAAGTCGGCGGTGCCACTTCTGAAACGGATACGTCACATAATCGCTATTTCAAGCTGGCAGCATCCTTCAGCATTTTTAGTCTTGCGCCTAAGTCTACCATACCTGCTGTCCCTCAGTGTTAATAACTCTATTTTCATGGTTGCTGCAGGCCTCGCAAACTATTTACAGTATTTTTCAAGCGAAACCCTCAGTTATCTATCATGCTATGAACTATTTCTTGCATTCAGTATGCGTTAATGAGTTCATTATCCTCACATGCCATAATGCGCACAAGTGTCCCACGAACGTAGTCTTAGGTAGTGGCCACGAGAGTCGCGTGCCGTGATATGTTTCACTGTTTTCCCAATAAATCCAGTGCTCGTCTATAGACAGAAACACAGCATCCGATGCAGTTTCACATACGTGTGGCTTCTCCAAGATTTCAGGATTGACGAAATCTGAGGATTTCGACTGATTATTTGTCGAAGAGATGACAATCAGTCGAAGGAAGATGTTGGTTAAAGTAATAAGTGATTCGGCCACACTCCGAAGAATGCTTCACTGCTCACATGGAAGCAAGGAAATCAACGTTTGGTAGGTCTAACAACAAAATGTTATGTTCGTAGGAAATTTCCACACAGATTCAGTGATCTGAAGCAGGATAAGTGAAATCGCGTGTCGAAGCGTTGTATCCAAATTGGGATAGGCCGAAACAAACCGAATAATTCCTCCGGAATTCATAGTTATGTAAATAAATAATTGTCTAAGCTGAATTTTGCATCGTCGGCACTTTAATTTGGATTCTGTACGACGAAGATCATATGCAGTTCCTTCATAGAATGTAGATATTTGAAGCAACACCGCTAAAGTTGTTTCAGTTCTGCAACTTGTCCTTAATCAAGAATGACTACGGTTACAAGTGTCAAAATGTCATAGTCATCGTCACGTCTGACACTCGGCTTCAAATTATGAAGTTATCTAGGATTATGTGAAAACTGGTTGGTCATAATTATTGATATAAGTATAAAACTTGGGCACTGTGGTAGAGTATATCCATAATGGTTAGTCATGAGATGTAAGCTTAGATATACATATAGGGATAAATGTAAACACTATAATAATACTTAAGGCATGAAGTGGTTTGATATATGGGTCAGTCATTATCCCAACGAGTATATTTGTATAGGTGTAGTCTGTGTTTATCGTAAAGGTTTCTTCTAAGACATTCGTCGTCACTAAACGCAACGAGCATTGTAATAAGGTTAGCGAAGTTGGATACTTAAGACGGCTGCTGTTACTGTCGCTGGTTACAGCACAAAGTTGGGAGTCATTTCCATGCCTTTTTCCCGCCTCGTCACCCGGTACGTTCGAATCAGGTGACGCTTTTGCACGTGTTTTCGTTTATATTCATTTATTGGTTACTATTAATTGATCTTTAATAACGATGGTTCAAAATTCTAAAAAGCGTGTTCGCGTGAACACCAGTAATTTATAAATTAGCACCAGCTCGTTTAATAATACATTACCACCCCATATTATTAGTAGTTCACCCAACATAAAAGACTCCATCATAACTCTGACCCCCGTAATACAGGTGGAAGATGTTCTGTCTGAAAAAGTAGAGCTCTCTTACTTAAAGTGCGTAATTAAAGAGATGCAGCTACGGATAGATGAGTTAAAAACGAAGTTAAGTTCACTAGAAGGTATACCCGAAACTATCTCACATATGAAAAAGGAACTGCAGGATCCTACAGTCCTAAAGCTTTTTAATACGACTTCTAGAATGACTCATACTGACTCAAAAAGTGCGAAGGAGTTAGGAAACACCATCGACTTTCTATCCAGCGAAGTTGTTAAAAGGCTGGCCTCAAAACAAAACGCAATAGTGTATAATGTACCGGATAGCGAGCCCATAAAGTCAGTCCAACACTCATTGCTGAAGGCTGCAAATCTCTTGAATGCACCTTGTCTGTGCATTCGCCTAAGCAAAAAAGACCTAAAGCATCCTTGTCCTATACTCTTTAGGTTCGACAGCTACATAGCAGCTGAACGATTTAAGATGGCCGAAGATCTTCTGGCTACTGCCACCAAATTCAAGAATATCAAAGTAGTCTCGGATAAAACACCAAACCAAAGGCAAGCAACCAAGAACTGCTTCTATACAAAGTTGACAACACTGAGAAATACATCTGGTATCAGTGCTAAAGTGTCGACGGACACTGAAGCACAGCAAGTCACGTGTATAGCGTTAGGAGAAAAAACGGCAAGTAAGAGCGACCCAAAACTCAGTAAGAGCAGTGCCACTGGGTACAATCTTAGAGTACATGAGAGCACACCTCAAAAACCTGCTGAACTACATTTTTTTATTACAGCTTGATTCCATGAGGTTGACATAGACGCACAAACTATGGCTGACCAGAAACTGCTGGCAGACCACACTCAATTTGGATCCAAGCCAGAGAGTCCCGCAGTAGAAACTGCAAGAAGGACCACAAAGCCTTGAGTTCCATCCCAAATTCCGACATACCTACCTCGTAATAAGTCTAATAAACAGCATGTCAGTCTAAAAAATGACGATGCATGGGTAACGAAGCACATTCCGAAAAACGTCACGCGGCACGTAAGTAAGAATACCCCTTTCCGAACTAGTAGTAACATGACTAACAACGCATATAACTTCGGAATGCAACGTAGAGTGGTGTAAGCCACGTCTCATAAACCGTTAATGCCCAGCTCTTGCTGCACTCAGGCTCACGCTGTTCCTTGAAGTTTCTCAGAAACGCTTAGTAATAACGGACGCAAAAACCAAACGCCAATTGGCGACTCGAGGATTCTTCAATAATAATAATAATAGCTTTATTCCAAAAACAGTACTCATGATACAGCAAGGAATTTTCAGCATTCAGTACAATATTGCATCTAATTTACTCAAAAACGACAAAAAATTAAAAATACACATTACATAATAGTAATAAAACGATTGTTATAGCAGCTACATAGCAAAATACTGTATGCCATACGGAGAAAAATATGCATAAAGTACAAAATTGTAGTAATAATAGTAATACCAACTAAAATAAAATAGCAGAGTAATGATTAAACGATAGAAAGTGTGACACCATAAAATACAGAAAGATGAACAATGAAAGGGTCGATTCACTGTGCTAATTACATAGTAACTTGTAAGTTTCACGTCTAACAGAGTCTTCGTCACATAAAGTACGGGCTAAATAGGGTATTGTAGAATTTCTATACTTAGTGGTACGAGCATATATTTTTTTATATTGACTTCTCGTCCTACCTGATGAGATACAAGGGGAAGGTGTGAATAAAGGGGGTGCAGAGGGTCTGACAGTATAGCCTTTGCCCATTTCGTACAGGAATTTATATGCCTCTCGACTATAGTATTAGCGAGCTCATGCAGTGGCAGACCACAAGCCCTACTCACAGCATTTAATACTCTTCGTAATATGATATAATCTTTTTTGAGAAGCCCAGGAAAGATTAATGGAGAGCAATAGAGTACAATAGGTAAAATACAGGAGTTTAAAAATTGCAAAACTAAAGGTTGGTTGATACCTGATTGTCTTAACTTTTTAATGTAGAAGGTAAGACGAAACATTTTCTTAGAGATAGATAAGATGTGGGATGACCATGAAAGGTCAGAGGAAAGAACTAATCCAAGGTATTTAATGCTTGATTTGGTTTCAATTTCCGTGCCATCTATGCTACAGGGATCATGCGAAGTAACTAGTTCAAGTAAGTCACGTCGATGCTTGAAAGTAAAGTCAACTGCCTGACATTTGGAAGGATTTAATATAAAACCATTTGACTTGGACCACTTGTTGATGTCCAACAGAAAGCTCAGTCAGACTCGGAAGTGATAGGCAGTGATACAGTCAGATCATCTGCATATTTGACAAAGTTAGTTTCGTTTGAATGAGGCAGGTCATGTAGGAAGAAAGAAAAAAGAAAAGGAGAGAGGACAGCACCTTGTGGAACACCGGATTTTGTAAGCGAGGTAGAAGAAGATTTGCCGTTATATACAGTATACTGCATTCTATCAGAAAAATAGGAATGCAACCAACTCTTTGCCCAGGATCCTGTTTGTGTCAACGATAGCTTATTTAACAAAAGGCCCCTAGGTACAGAGTCAAAAGCAGATGTGTAGTCTAAGAAAGCACTACGAACATATTTAGCACCTTTGTCTAAACAAGAGACAACATTGTGATATAAGACAACCGCAGCATCCAAGGTACTTCTACCATGTTTGTATGCAAATTGTTTAGGATCATTAAAAGGTTTCAAAGCAGGTTCAAGACGAAGTAAAAGTAATTTTTCCATCAATTTTAAAAAGGGGGAAGTAATTGCAATAGGCCGAAATTTAATATCAGAACCAGAAGATGGTTTTGGTATAGGGATAATTTTAATGTTTTTCCATGCAAAAGGTAGAACGTTACCGGAAAAAGAAGCATTAAAAATGTTAGTAAGAGGATAACACAAAATATCAGCACAATTCCTGAGGACAATGGCAGGTATGCCGTCAGGACCAAGGCTTTGAGAAGGCTTAAGAGACCGGAGACATTTAAGCACATCAAGGGTATTAAAACCACTAAAGTTATTGTCAATATGATT